CGACCATACCCAAGAGAAAATGTAGAATAAGAGAGCCTTTACAGGGTATGTATTGTAATATAATGTAAACAAAATGTGTAGAGAATAAAAAGTAGAAGAATTAGTTTAACTTTGAGTTAAATAAGTATTTGAAACAGCCCAACGCCCGGTCTTTCAGGCTGCCCTAGTTAACTGGGGAAAAGAAAAACTGGCTTCGTGTTTCATAGCAGTTGCAATTATAATTCTATTTTAAATCAAGCCAAGTCTATGCACATAAATATAAGTAAATACAGAGAGAGCAAAAAATACAGAGGAGAAAAAATACGCACGGGAAATTGTTAGGAAATACATACATTTATGCAAGTAATTATAAGAAGGAAGCATTTCCGACTACAAAAAGTATATGTACATAAAATTCATTATAATAATCTAGACATGTCCATCAAAGTATAAAGTCTAGACTTCAAGTATAAAAACAAACTCCAATTTTGTTCTTTTTTCATTTGTTTAGCCATCGAGTAATTTAAAAATCCTTACAACAGCTTAACAAGAAATATAGGGTATCTCAGATTCAGCACACTTCGTCACAGTCTTTTTTTTCTGTTTTATTACGTTAGAGCCCTCGCGTTAGTTGAATCGATGCGACGCTGACCTTTCCCTCAATTAAAGGCAAACACACAAATACAGCGCACAGTGCTGTGCAGCAGTAATGCGACCAGCTGCTGCTGCTGCTGCTGCTATTCAACAGACTGTGTTGTGCTGTCGACGCTTTGGCTCATTAGACAGCAGTACCAGCAGCCGTCGCTTTCATAATTTATTGGTACCTACGGCTGAATCTAATTTCTGGGATTTGCAACAGAGCAAATATGTTAAATACGAGCTGGGCAGCAATTGGAAGCGGGAAGCGGGAAGCGGGAGGCTGAAAGCTGGAAACTGGAATGGAAGGGACACGTCTCACTGGCTACGCAGTTGCTGTTGGATCGCTGGGCGAGATAATGGACAAAACCAGCGCTAAGTGCGGCCACAAAAGCCAAGCAATTAACAAGGCGTTTGGTTTAGGAGCTTTGCCATTGGCTTGGCCACTCGACAATCCTGGCCAACGAGAACAACCGCAGGCAAATGGCCAAAGGACGTTCGAGCGGGGCGGCAAAGGCTAACCGGAAATGCACGCAACTCCAGCTGAAGCTGTTGTTGACAAGGCTCTAAAGCATCGGACTGCAACCAAAGACGGCGCGCAGTCAGCAAGTCAGCAAGAGACCGCAACTGGGCCAGGGCGACAGCGAGAGGAGGAGGGGGAGCGGAAGCGTGGGCCGCGCGGATGGCAGCGGGACTTGGAGTAATATGCGTAATTAAACAAAACCGCAAGTGGGGCAGTTGCACAACAAGCGGCAAGCATCGCGCAGCAGAACTGAAAAAAACAAAAAAAAAACTATGTATATATAAAGGATACCACAAACGACACAACAAACACAAGACTACAAGAAGCGCAACGGAATAATTTGTTGGAGTCCTGCTAAGGCGCTCTCCCTATGCTCTTCATTTCTAGTATATATGCCAAATATAGTAGAGATTATTATATGCATAAATTAAAAATAAATGTATGTAATATATACACTAAGCAACTGTCTATTTACCTCCCTCAAATAATTATTTCTAGTTCATTTGGCAAATCAGTCTAATTAATTTAATTAATTATAATTAATTGAATTCAATTGAATTACTCTGAAAATTTTCATGATTTGGATTACGTTTGCTCATAAAAAAAAAATAAAATAACTACTTTGATATATAGAAGAATTGCTAATAATATTTATATTATATGTATGCGCAACAAAAAAAAAAAAAAAAAAACACCCACACACACAATTTCTGACTTAATCAAAAATTTGACGAGTATTTTTTATCACATTTTTTTTATTCTGCAGAAATAAGTAATTAAATGAAATTATTTGAGCATGAGCGAACTCTTAAGCGGAATCGCTTTAGTCAGCTACAGGGCTGCCAATAAAAACAGCTTAATTTTTATTTTTAATCTCAACTATTTAAAAATATAAAAGGAAGAAAAACCAAGAATATTTTGTAAAAATGTTGAATAAATTTAAATAATTAATAAGCCAACAAAAAATGGAAAAAACCTTTAGCTAAACACAAATTAAAATAAAATATAAATAAAAAATTATTATTAAATTTCTCATATGTATATGTATGTAAACTAAAATGCTTTAAAATTTAAAATAAATATGAAAACATGTTACTTATGCATGGGTATTCGTAAACGTGAATTTATTTTAAAATTATTAATTTCTTAGAGAAGAGTTTTCATACTTTATAACCGTCGAATAGCGCATTAAATTTTGTTTAATGTTAAAATAGCCAATAAAAATTGGCTTAAATTATAACTTGCGGTAGTCCCAAAGGGAAACCCCACACACATCAATCAATCGCCCCGGAGAACAGTTAAACTGTAATTAACATAGGTCTCAGCTTACAAAGCGCCTGACAAAGTGTTAATGCCCAGCGCGTGAGCTGAGCCGTTTAAATTAAATATTTGCCGGGCAGCAATGCTTGGCGTGAGCCGCAGAGTGTCAAGAAGTAAAGCAAAGAGTTGAAATGCAGCAGCGCCACATTAATCTGGAGCATGCAGATTGAAGTGTCGCCCTGCTCTGTGAATCTGTCTGTGATGACAAGTTGAGCCCGGCCCGGGTCCGAAACGGAACGCCTTAATCCCTGTCAGAGTTAAATGCAGCATATTCTGGAGGCAGAATGCCGTGCACTTAAACCTCAACTCGACTCGAATGAGCTTGGTTGCGTCACCGTTCATTGATTTCACCTGTAAACGGAATATGCAACAATGTGAAATCGATTTTGCATTAGCCACGAAACACTTGAGCCAGAAACACCAAAGGCCCCAAGCAAAATATATATTGATGAGCAAACAACAACGCAACAGTGGCCCAAGCAGAAGACGAACGTGCGTAAAAAATGATGGAAAAAATATGTAAACTATAAAGAGAGAATTCTTGAGACTTCAACAAAAATGAAACGTGTACTCTGAAAGAGAACCCAAGCTCCACACGCCAGGCCTGGACTCGCAGAGCCAGTTAACCCAGTTAGCCGGGATTTGAAATTCAAAGCAGTTGACGAGATAATTATCAAGTCAAGTGCAATGTTTATGCACATAAAAATGAGAATATATAAAAGAAATGTTATACATTATAGAGAAAATTGTATAAAAATAAGTATATTTAAATCTGAACTTAGCTAAGAGCATACCAGAGTAGTTTAGGTGGCATGCAACTGTGCTGAAAGATATTTACATGGTATACAACTCTAGTTGAATATATCGAATAACCACTGTAAAGAACTCACTCAACTGTCAAACCAACAACAAAGTGAACTTAATTTAACAAAGACTTTTGCAGACCAGCCCGAAGCTGTCTCTTTCTTATACCTAGCAAAGCCATGGCATAACTATATTTAGATAAATGCATATATAAAGCGCTGGCCAACCTCAGCTATTGGCCAAAGAACTCACTCACCTGTTAAAGCAGCCAAATTTAGCATAAATCCAATTAGACGCATCGCGAACGCTGCTTGCTCCTTGTTCAATATTGTAAATATTAATTGTTATTTTAGCGGAATTTATTGAGCTGCTATTGCAAGTGGCAAAAATTGATGCATTTATTGCACTTGTTATCAGCAATTTTTGTGCCCAAGCACCGCCAGGCACTTCAATTGCTAGGCATTAGTTTTGAAGTTGTTGCTGTTGCTGTTGTTGCTAATTGTGAACACACCGATCCGACACGAGAGCCAACGAAGAGAGTGTGCGAACAAGACAGAGACAGAACAAGACAGAGAGCGAGCGGGAGTGAGCGACAGAGGGCCGAGAGCCGGAGTCTGAGCCTGAAGCTTACACGAAGTGTAAGCCAACCAACGCGCACGAATTTCACTTTATCACTGAATATAATTTTTTTTTTCCAATTTCTTCGCTCGCAAATTGAGCGTTACCCGAGCGTTGCGTTAGCAACAATGCGCATGTCTCATGCAACATTTGGCCGATGCTAAATGTTGCCGGCAACATGCACGAAGCGTCTATAAAGAAATTTTGAAAATCACCTGCTGAAAGAGCAAAAGAGTTTCCTTCAGAAACGTATATAATATTTATTATTTATTTCAATTTTGTTTAAATTGTTTTTTAAATAAGCGCATTCAAAAAAATTTATAGCAACCTCAAAATATGTAACTACTTTTCGACTTTAAAAAATCCCGCGCATTCTTTGAATTTGTATCAACATGTTGCTAATGAAGGGGTAAAACATAACGAATGTTGCAGGAGATAAGTCGAAAAGTGGGGACACTTTGTCGAAAGCTCGTGAAGCTTTTGAATATCTAGAGTTGGGGTAGGACCTTGGGGTTAAGCTTGTATAACATATAATGTATAACGTATGCTATATAACATATGCCGTATAACATATAGCGTATAACATGTAACGTATAACGTACACGTATAGCGGATAAATGCAGTTATGGCAACAATTTGCGCAATTCACCACACATACTATACAAAAAAACCAAGTTAAATTTCGAAACTTGGCATTTTATAGCACTCAAAGTGTTATAATTGTTATAGCAAGTACACTTATATTATAAAAATAATAGATGAGACACAAACCATGCTATAATCACAGAATGACAGTCAAACGGTTAAACGGTTAACGGTTATCTATCTGTTAGATATTTAAATGCAGATTTAAATAAACAAAGCTCAACGTTTGTTTCCCATTTTTTATTATAAATATTATTAAAAAATTTAAATATTAAAAAAAAAACATAAATACTATAACAAATAAAAATATTTATAATATATTATATCGCGCTGCAACTATCGATCAGAAATAAAAGCTCAGCAAAAGTAGGGATGACAGCACTATTAAAATTAGCACTACCTTCTTATTAGTAAGCTTATAGCGCAGTCCGAGCTGAAACGCATGGCTAAGTGGTTAGTAGTTTGGTGTTGAAAAAAGATATAAAATAAAATATGTGTCATCAGGATGAATCAAATTCAGGAGCTAAAGAGGAAGAAATAACACCCGACACTTCTAAATCTAATGAATTCCTCGATGGAGTGTGGTTCTCTATGAATCCCAAGATAAAACATTGTACGAGCAATGTTGCCGTTATGGTTACTCATCGATATGCATTCGAATATAAAATGTCTCATGCGCATCGTGGGCTGGCGATGATCTTCAGCCATGAGAAGTTCAATATGAAAGATCTGCCATCACGACCCGAAACAGTTATCGACTGCAACAATTTAAGTCGTGTACTCAAAAAATTGGATTTCGATGTACAGATTTACAAAGACTTGTGCTACAAGAATTTAAGAAAAACAATAATAAAAGCTGTTGCCATGGATCATTCGAATAACGATTGCATTTTTGTGGCAATACTCACGCATGGCAAAATCAAAGATATCTGTGCTAGCGATAATTCCCATGCGTATGACATAAAGAATGAGGTCTATGCTAGCGATCGTTCCTATGAATTGGAGAGCATTTGGGAATCCTTCTCAGCTGACAAGTGCCCCACACTAGCGGGCAAACCGAAGATATTTATTGTCCAGGCCAGTCGAGGCAATCTGAGAGATCCAGGCTATGTCGTTCGTTCCAAAGGACACATTGAAACGGACGGTGATTCGGAGAGTAGCTATAGGATACCAACAATGGCCGATTTTTTAGTTGCCTTTTGCACAGTTCCCAAATACAGATCGTGGAGTAATACCTTGAAGGGCAGTTGGTTTATATACAATCTATGCGATGAGCTGGAAGCCAATGCCCACTCAATGGATATGCTCAGTCTACTCACCTTTGTCTCCCAGCGCGTGGCCAATTGTGAGAGCGACGAAACACAGGAAAAACAAATACTTTGCGTCATGTCCACGCTGACACGAGTTTTGGAATTCTAAAAAATGCCTCTATGAACAAAATCATGTTTACAAATTTATTTATATTTTATAATTTTAATTTAATTTTATAATAAAAGAAAACACTACTAATTGAAGAAATATACATATGTATGTATTTACTTAATAAATAAAAACAAAAACCAGCATACATATATTCTAAGATAATATAACCTCAATATTCATTGCAAAATAAATAATAATCAAATATAAAATAATCAAACGAAGTCAACTTTTTATTTGAATTTTATTTCTAGACTGACATTTTAACCGCTGACCATATGGTCAGTGTTTTAACTCAACCATTTCGAAACCGTTATCGATATATATACATATATATCAATTCAATAGTCACATCTCTAGCTAATCGCATATTATTACATTTTTACGCACCCACGTCGGCATCCAACAAGTAGATTTTCGAAGTGTATAATTTATAAACAATGTATTTTCATAAAATTGTTAGTGTCATATACCTGGGGATTATTACTGTATGCAGTGCAGGCATAGAGCGCGTTGATGATACCGATTTGATACACATTCTAACCGGCGAAGGCGATGTGGTTGCATTGTTTACGCGCGGCAATTGCGTGGAGTGCGACAAATATGAAAACGTTGTTGACAATATTCAGGAAGAAGTTAAGCAATCGCTGGGAGCATCTGTTGTGCAGGCACACGATAGCAATTTAATACATATCTACGATCCAAGCAGGGAGCCGGCATTGCTATATTTCCGTCGTGGAATACCGATTCTCTATAATGGAGCGATTGACGGAGAAGAAATTATACAATTTTTCAATGATAACCGCGAGCCTGCGGTAAAGGAACTTTCCGATGACAACTTCGAGCATTTGACGCAAGCCTCAACTGGAGCCACTACGGGAGGCTGGTTTGTTTTCTTCTACTCCGCGGAATGTGTGCTCTGCCAGCGTCTATATGCTGTTTGGGAGTCCGTTGGTGGCTCACTAAAACGCAAGATAAACGTGGCACGAATGAATTCTTTGGCCACTGGCTCCTCCACTGCGAATCGACTGAAGGTGACGACAACTCCTGAATTCGTTTTCTTGCGCCAAGGCAAAATCTATCGGTACACCTCAAAGGAATATACTCCAAAAGCTTTCATCGAATTTGCCGAGGGCGGATATAGGAAAATCAGTCATCCGGAGATTGTTCCCAAGCCATCCAGTTTTATGGATGAACTATCTTTTGGACAAGTCATAGATTATATCAATAGTCAGGGGACGCTTCCGCTGGCATTCATTGGGACACTCCTGGTCTTATTTCTTTTACTTATTGTTAAACGCGTTTTTAAAACGTCGACCAAGAAAGCTGTGAATAAAAAAGACAAATAATTTGGGCAGCGGGTATAAGTAAGTGTAGTTCAGTTTATATTTGGCATATGGCATTCCTTGTACATCAACTTTTGTACTTATATATTTAATAAATAAATTTTATTTTAAAGTTATTTAACTTTGATTGCGTGTTATCGATATATGTCGCAGTCTCTTGCTAGTTTCAGGTATTTTGACGTTTGCATTAATCGGTCACACTTCATAAAATAATATTTGCAAAGAAAGTTTACTATGGTCGGATCAAATTTTGGCATTATCTATCATCCGAGTGCTGGTGGCGGCTCATCTGGTCAAACCAACACTGGCAGCGGCACAGCTTCTGGAGCCAGCGGTGGTAATAATTTCAATGCGGGCGGCGATCGTTCTGCACCAGCATCGCATCTAAGCGATTTTATGTTGCAACTAGAGGACTACACACCTCTGCTGCCTGATGCTGGTATTTACTCCTTAATATATATTTGATCAAGATATTTTATCTTAATAATGTTTTGCCTTCAGTCACTTCGCATTATCTGAATATGGGCGGCTTTCATGCTGATGACAAGCGCATTGTTCGACTGATCTCTATAGCAACTCAGAAATACATGTCGGACATCATTGATGATGCACTGCAGCATTCGAAGGCGCGCACACACATGCAAAACTCAAATGCACCCGGTGGATCAAAGGTGCGTTGCTGTTGTTTATGAGTATCATAAATATCTTTATTTTGATATAACTTCATTATAGGCTAAGGATCGCAAATTTACCTTAACCATGGAAGACCTGCAGCCAGCTCTAGCTGACTACGGCATTAATGTGCGAAAAATGGACTATAGTCAGTAAGCAATTCGGCAATTTACATATTAAGTTATTTTATTTAAGTTACATTTCTCAAATAAAAGGAAAACTTCCAAGATTGCGCTCTTGTGATCGAGCTCCAAATAAACATTGACAAAAATTCGTTTGATGTCACAGAACTTAAAGTTAGGGTAATATCTTTACAAATTTTAAATCACTAGATTCATAATACTTTCTAGCTAGTCGACTATTTATCGACACATAAGAAATCTTTTAAAGCTATTGCTGGTACCTCCCGCCACTTTGAAGGCTAACACACCAGTGAGAATCGTTACAACATAGTTGGGCACGAGACTGGCCCAGTACAGGCCATCCGCATTAAGTAGCGTTAACAGGGAGACGAAGAGATGTGAGCCAACTACGTAAAAAATATGTAGATAGTTATTTGTATCAAAAGCGTTGAAGAAGATGACGCTCCAGAATGTGTGCAACAGGACAATTGAAAGCACTTGTACAGCCGACGTGACGAAAAACATTTCAGAGCCGCCCTTGAGGCCCATTGTGCCAGGTCCAGTCTTCAAATATATAATGAACACTAATTAGAATATTTACTTGCTATAGGTAATGAGTTACGCACCATATCCGCCAGCACATTAACCAGCGCAAACAAACCCGATATGATTCCGAATCCAAGCCCTGAAACGTAGGCCAAAATATGTTTGTTTTCCGTGATCCGTGTGTCCTCAGCCACGGCATGCAACGCGTGCTCTGTGCTGCGCAAAATGCGATAGATGATGTAGCGAAAGCCTTCCTGGAATAGCACCGAGAACACCACACCAAAGGCCAGTACATCGCGCAGGGGAACAATCGCAAACCACAGCATCGACGACAACAGCAACGAAAGCAGCCAAAAGAAGGCGGCCGCTATGAGTATTATAATGCGCAAGGAGTCATTGGCAATGGTGAACACAAACAGTGCAAACGGTGTGCCAAATGCAATCAGTGTACAACCAAAAAATTCAGGCAGCGTCATATTTATTGTCGCAAAAAAGAAAAACCGCCCACTCTGACAGCTTTTTCCTTGTTTTACTTTGCGGTGACAAGCCGATGACAATTACCGAGTCTCTATATTCGTGTAACTTATCGATATCGATAACAGTGTTTGCAAGCACTCTCCCCAAATGCAGCATATTGAATTCACAAACTGGCTGGCAAAATGTAATATTATTTCTTGGAAATAAATATTACGGGCTGAAAATGTATATAATCTTGACATATATTAAATGATTAGGCGAAATGTATTTAATATTCATAAGAATCCGTTTAAATGCATTTATATTTAGCCATGTAGAGTATTCAGTTATCGGTTAATTATTGCAGTAATTAAGCTGTTCGTGCGTGAGTTACGTCGTGTAAGCATATCGGCAACGACAAACAAATGTTTACATACGCTTTCGAAACTGCAGTTGGTTTCCATAATTACACCTGCACTGAAAGGGTTAAAAATTGCATAGTTGTGATTTGCCTTAAACGAATATCATTAAAATGTATAGATTCCATAAATAATAATTAATAACTAAACAGAGTGGTAATACACAACAATGCAGGTGCTCTGAACCTATGTACATAAATACATATGTGCACTGTTAAACCTGAACCCCAAGAGAGAGAGCATTTAATAGTCGTTGTAGTATGTTATCGTGATTAAGACAAAGGCGTCCCACTTACTCGCGCACTGGGCTCGTCAATGTTTTGGTTTGGGTCTTCGGGGATTAGTCACTTGAAGATTCGCAAGCGTAATACAAACGCCACAGAAATAATTAAATTGCTATTAGCGGAAAATTCATATTGCACCACTGTTAAGTAATTTATTTTTGTGGCTGGACTTACAAGTGAGCAAACAATTACACAAACAAGTGCAACAAAGCGACAGTTAACTGTAATTGCTTTCGACTACTTTTGACTTTCTAGTGCATGCTGTGATGGCGAAACGTCTACTGCCACACCAGCCGTCTGAGGACGGTCCGCATCCGGACGACGAGCCAGATAGTCCGGCCATTGAGGCGGCCGCCTTGGACATTCCCCCGCAGGCTGTTGACCCGACGGGTCAGAAAGGTGAGTAAATTAGCAACTAAAGTGCAGTTTTTAATACAATATATGTATATACATATGCATATTTCAGCGTTCTGGGAGAGCTACAATCCAGCTAAAAAGTTTCGTCCCACTGCTGATGGCAGCTCGGAATTGCGTTTTGAGATTCTGCTGGCCCACATAATGCCACGCGAGAACGAGGATGTGAAAATCAAACGCTTCGTCATTTACGAACTAACTGTGCGCCAGGACTCAAGCACCATGGATGAGCAGCCGGCCAAGATTGAGCGCCGCTATACAGACTTCCGGGATCTTTATCAGTGCCTTAAGCGAGAGCTACCCAACGAGCTGGCCAGTGTTAACTTCCCCAGCAAGGTGCTCATGGGCAACTTCTCAGCGGAGCTAATTGCCGAGCGCAGCGCTGCCTTCGAAACGTTTCTTACGCATATCGCCAGGAACCCAAAGCTCCGGGACTCAGAGGGATTTCTACGCTTTTTGCAGCACGACGAACTGACCCGGGCGTGCCAGTATCTGGATGAGCGACGCAATGAGATGGCCATACCGATACTCGAGAACTGTTTTCGCCTGTTGAACAAGATATTCATGAATCGTTCGCGACCCGTGTTGCTGATACTCTGCCGCCTGGTTGCTGCCTGCACCTCCTCACCGGTGCCCCATCACTCAGCGGAACGTTGGGCTCTGCTCGCACTCAGCCGCTTCGATACGCTATGTGATATTGACTTACTGCCGCTCTACATACCCCTGCTGCACACCTGTGCACACTTGTGGTAGGCATTTCAAGCTCTGATTCGTAGTTTATGTTTGTATTTATTGATTGCTTGCTTTCAGGTGGCAACGGGGTCAGGATCAGAAGCCCATAACGGATCGCTTGACGGAGATGTCCAGGCAGGGCATTAATACGGCTAATATCACCAGCCTAATGCAGGCAATTCACAAACTGGACCCCCGCACTGAAACCATCTGAACGCACAATGTTCTCAATACTCATACATACACACACACACACACACTTATACATATACACCCTCGAGCCGTAGTGCTAAGCTAAAAGTGCAATTAGTAACAATTATCGTGCAATTAGTATTAGAAAAGTTTGTCATATTTATATATACATAGTACTGCGTCTCACGGCCCTTCCACGTTTTTCACTATTTTGTTTTGTGTTTCATATATGTCTAATATCTTATATGTCTAATATTATATGTCTAGTATGTTGCGTAGCTTCGCCATTTAACGTGATTGCAACTGTATCGAATGCTAAGGGTTAACCCACTGAACACAAATGAAATTGTCTAAAAATTAACATTCCTGTAATATCAAAAAATCTATTATCGAAGTATGGGCAATTATATTAAGAACAACATTATCAAATATATAATAGAAACGATAGTCTGAATCATTTTGTTGTGCATTTCATGTATTGGTAGGCATATATACTTCCATATATATGTATATGCGTCATTCCGCAGAGGAAATGCGAATTACGTCAATTTTTAGCTGCGTTGCAAGAATACTTTAAATATCTATCTGGAAATAACTAAAAATGAAATCAAATGAAAATCACGTATCGCTTTTCTTAAGTGAGCTCATCGTAAGCGCTGAGCTAGAATATTGGAATCTCTTATATACTCTGAAGTGTGAGTACTGGAAATCTTCAGAGATCAGACCGCATGACTGCCTGATTGTAGTGCTTATATCTGCAGATAAGTTTAATGACTTCAATTGGAAACTCTAAGTTTCTTAATTCAAATCTCAATTACCATATATACAACTGTATTATTGGGTTGCTTAACAGCATGCATCATATTGTATAAGAAATCCAGTTCAAATTTAAAGTCGTTACAACAAAAACAATAAACTAAATCAGCTGCAGTCTGTTCAACTAATTTGCTTAGCTCCACAGCATTTAAATTCAAAATAAAGACTCAAATGAGCTTGCTTTAAACATTTTTTAAAATTAGCTTGGCAGCTACATCAAATCCAATTTGATTAAGCTGGCTTAATACCATATATACTATATACTATTAAAGAAAATCCAGTTTAAATTTACATTTCAAGTCTTTTCAGCATTAAAACATCATGAGCTGCACTTAATGGTCATTAAACATTTTTAAGAATATATTTTAGGTCAATTATTAAACTAAACACTAAGATGCGCTTAAATAAATCAACTTATTATACGTTTTGTGAGGCTCGCTCGCCAACGCTAGCCAACTATAGATGCATGTCTAAAACGATCTCATGCATCCATTCTATAAGCTGGCAAGTCTTGGGGGTGCTCAGCGGCTACTCCACATTGCGTATACATAATTTTAAATGTACAATTTCTCGGGGACAACTTGCAAACCGCAGCAATGTCATGATGGTTGTGAGTGTGGTGGTGGTGCAGTGGTACAGCGGTGCAGCCTTAATTGCTTCAACGGTAGAGTCGCGTAAATGTTTTCAGTGCCTGCGCAACGGCCTTTATGGTGTCAGCCCTGAGAGAGAAGGAAAATCAAATAGTTTAATAAAGAATGGAATAGACTCCAGCGCCAAACACACGGATACTCACCTCAGCACCGTATTGCTAAACTCATCCAATTGCTGTTGGGTGGCCGTCACGTAGCCGCCGCTATTCTTCTTGGGCAACGAGTCCAGTGCATGGACAAGGAACAGTTGCATCTGTGCTTGCGGGACCACATGCTTCAGCTCGTTCAGCACCTCGGCGACGTCGGCGAGCATGTAGGAGTGCAACTGGAAGACGGACGCCTGAATCAGATTCATGACCAGAGCGCCGCCATGCTGCGTGGCCAGCTCAATGACCAGCGGCCGGCACTCGCTATATCGTTGATTGGTGCTGCGCCCTCCCCAGGTGAGCAGATTGATAAAGAACTTCATCACCGACGAGTTGGCTTCCCGATGGTCCAGTGAGCAGGCAATCAGCGCGCACTGGAAGATGGGCGTGATGAGGCTGCTCTGGAGCAGCTGCAACGGACAGCAGTCCAGGTAGCGTGAGGCCAGTCGAAAGAAATCATCGACTGTGTCGGGATTGTTGCGCAATCCGTTCTCCAACTGCAGCAGCGCAAACGTGGGC